GAATAAAATAATACAAAATTTTTATTACTTAATTATTTAATTGTTTATTTGTTTATTTAATCCAATCAGAAAAAGACAACTGTAGAAATGGATGTCTAGGGGTTTCTCAAATGAGAAACGTTTCTGTCATCTCTCCTCTTTTTTTTCTAATTTTTTAATCTGTTTTATTAGGGAGTTTCTCACCAAGAAACTTTCAATGGAGATGCTCTTATAGAGGTCTAGTTTGTTAAACACTATTATTTCTTTTGTTTTTGCAAATTTTCTTGACCAATCATATTGCACTGTCTTTGTGGGAATGGAATAAATCCTTTATCATTGTCCAGCAATAAGCATATCCCTTGGTTGACGACGAGAAAACTAAATTGCTTTGGCTAATTTATCCCTGAAACTTTGTTGTGTGCCTAAACCCACATGAATTAATATAAAATTTGAATTTTTTGCATGAACAAAACAAATCCGGATTAAACCCACAGATCGGTAAACGCTGTTATTGTTCCGTCAACGACCAGCTAACTAGGATGCCACATCATCGATTTAAACAACCGTGTTTTGAGGAGAAAACGGCCTATTCTCCCACAAACTAAGTTTTTTTTTTGCTAATTCATCCCCAAAATTTTGTCTCCACCCTAAACCCACATGAACTAACATAAAATTTGAATTTTCTACATGAACAAAACAAATCCAGACTAAATTCCACGAATCGCTAAACGATGTTACTATTCCGTTAATGACCAGCTGACTAGATCCTGTGAATACGAGTGCATAAAGTAGTAGTAAGTTTTTTTAGTAAGTAGGCGATGCCTTCTCTAGGTTTTTTCTCGTCTTTATATAGATATTCTTCCTAGGTTATTCGGTCCGAGGTCCGCATTAACCTCTTCTACATCTCAGGTCCCTGCCGAGATCCTCGCCTGACTTAGTCCTGATTCGCAGCCGGCTCCGCTTCTCTTCACTATGGGCTGATGAGTCTAACATACCTCCCACTTGTTATTTTCGTTGGTTGATTCAGAGGTGCTGAATCCAGCACCAACAAAACATCTTCAAGCAAACAATATATTCTGAAACAAAACATCATATTATTCCAAAATCTGTAGAAAACCCACCACCAACTCCAAATCTACTTCAAGTTCCACCCTTTGAAACCCTCGTTCCTAGGCAATGACCAGCCCATAATATACTCCCCACAATCTCGCGAGAGGGGCTGAACATATTCCAATATTCAACGCAAACCCGCTAACCACCCCCCTTCACCATCACGGATTACTCCACCAGCCATTGCCTGACCAGGGTTCTCATGCGAGGCCCTGCCCATTGAAAGCATTACCCACCCATCACGCGGCCGCTTCCATATTATCACATGCTCCATCCTCATTCCTGCCCACAACTTTCCTCGGACCACGAAGTGAGCTCTTGTAACTTCCGCAGCCATATCTTTCAAGAACCTTACTCTATCCCGACACTTCCACTGCTCTCCAAACACATTACCACAACGCCACTTCCACCCCCACCAAACCGCAACACTAAAGATGGTGGACCAGTCTGATTCCCCCAGGTCTAAATGTACTCTCAAGTTATTGTAAACCCACTCCAACAGATTCTTGTCAAAAAAGCATTTCGTCGTCGTGGAGGAACTAACCGCAGCCATACTCTTGATATTGCGGGACAATCTCTCAAAAAATGTATGATCGTCTCCATTGCCCCTCGACACACTTGACATACCTCATTATCTCCTATATAATGCCACACCCTCTCCGAATTTGTCATTATGACTTGATGACCAACAAGACATAAAAACACTCAGACTCTCTCAGGTACCATCGCAGTCCAAAGCTGTTTGAAAAACGACTCTATATACGGTCCCGAACCATGACAGTTTATCCCCTAGAGTTATATTTGTTCATACTGTTCATCAAAATATCATTCACTCTATATATTCCATAAATGTACTATATATTACATTTTCAACTAATACACATGTTCATTCATAATAAAATTGTATTAAGAGACTAAATTCAATGAGACTTGGTAGGCTAGTAATTGACTTTAATTTTCTTGGCACTCCACAAACCAGAAAATGAAAATAATCGTTGGATCAAATGTTTTTATTTGATTCTTTACTTAAGAGTGTTCAAACTGGATCTGTTCTTTATTTGGTTCTTTATTTAGAGTGTTCAAAGTTCAAACTGAATCTGTTTTTTATTTGGTTAATAATGTTTTTATTCGGTTCTTTATTTAGAGTGTTCAATGCTAGATCTGTTCTTTATTTAGTTCAAATATTTTATTTTTTAAAAAACTTAAAAAATTGACTGTGAACCAGTTATGTACTCCCTCCGTTTTCGAATAGTTGTCGTTTTAGAGCTTTTTTTGTTTAAAATTAGTTGTCGTTTTAAGGTAATAATGTAATTTATGCCAATAACTACCCAAATTACCCTCATTTTATTGAACACAAATTATTTATAAATAATTACTTGTCATTTTTATGAGGTTAATATAATCATTGTATACTTTTTCTTAATTTGTCAAAATACAGTTAAAACGACAACTTTAAAAAAAACAGAGGGAGTATTTCCCTAAATTCACGCCGCACTGGCTTTTTTTTTTTCCTCGTCCCTAAGAGCAACCCCAATGAATAAGTCCTTAAATGGATCCTTAAACATATTTTAATCTTACTTTACAACAATTTTAAAGTTAAGAAATTTTGATGAATCCTTAAAATTTTCTTTGTCCAATGGTGAGTCCTTAACTAAGTTTCTTAAAAAAAAAAATATTTTTTTAAAAATGGAAAATTATAAACATTTTTATATGATAAAACTTAATAAATATTACAAATTCCTAAGAATTTTAAACATAGAAAGCATAAAAGCAAAAAAAAAATACAAAAAAAAAAACGGAATAACGAGTAGTCGTTAGCTTAGTTTATGCCAAATTGTCGCCAAATATGCTCAACCAAATCAGCTTTCAGTTGTTCATGTTTAGTCCGATCTCGTATTTCGGATCGAGTGGCCATCATATTACCCAGATTTGAAGGCATTTCTGTAGAGTATGTGAAATCCACTTGTGAAGATGTGGTTGATTCCGGGTGTTGGAATTCGGTGACATCAAACTGAGTGTACCCATCTCGTTCATCTCTACTATCATATTATGAAGAATTATACATGCTCGCATAATCTTTGCTATTTTTACCTTATCCCAAATAAGAGCCGGATTTTTTACAATGGCAAATCGAGCTTGCAAAACTCCAAAAGCACGTTCAACATCTTTGCGGCAAGCCTCTTGATTTGTAGCAAATAAAGAAGCTTTTTGACCTTGTGGAATAGAAATAGATTGGATAAATGTAGCCCATTTAGGATAAATGCCATCTGTGAGATAGTAAGCCAAATGATAGTCGTTCCCGTTGACTACGTATTTCACTTTCGGAGCTTTACCTTGTAATATATCATCAAAAACTGGTGATCGATCAAGAATATTTATATCGTTTAAGGTACCTGGAGGTCCAAAAAACGCGTGCCATATCCAAAGATCTTGGGAAGCAACAGCCTCTAAAACGATTGTTGGTTTGCCGGATCCACGTGTATATTGCCCTTTCCAAGCTGTGGGGCAATTCTTCCACTCCCAATGCATACAATCTATGCTTCCTATCATCCCGGGAAATCCACGTCCCGCTCCAATATGGAGTAGTCGTATAAGATCTTCTCGTGTGGGTCTTCTTAAGTACTCATCTCCGAACAAATAGATGATTCCATCAACAAAATGGTGTAAACATGACATCGAAGTACTTTCACCAATTCGTAGATATTCGTCAACCGCATCAGCCGCATGACCATATGCCAACATACGAATTGCTGCTGTACCCTTCTGTAGTGCCGAGAAACCGAGCCTTCCGGTAGCATCTCTTTTTTGTTCAAAGAATGGAACTTCATTGGAGAGTCGATCAACAATACGCATGAACAAGTGCTTGTTCATTCTGAAACGGCGTCGAAATATATGCGGAGGGAATGTTGCATCTTCAGAGAAATAGTCGTTCCATAACTGGATGTGACCTTGTTCACGCTCTCTTTCAATATATGCTCGTTTTTTTTTTTTTCTTGACTTGTTGTTGTTGACGATCACCATAATTCTCTAATGTTTCGTCGATATATTGATCAAATTTATCGTTCAACATTTCGTTGAGATTATAATTTGAAGAAGATCCCATTTATCTAAAAAAGAATTTGTTATGAATCGTAGTAAAAAAGAGAATTTGTTGTCGAGAAAAAAAGATAGTGTTTTGTAGAAGAAGAAGAAGAAGAATAAGAATTGGTGATGGTGTTTTGAAGAAGGAGAAAAAAAGATAGTGTTTTGTAGAAGAAGAAGAAGAAGAATAAGAATTGGTGATAGTGTTTTGGGAAAGAAGAAGAGGAGTGTTCGGTTTAAATATGAAGAGAAACTAAAGAAACATAATTTGAAAATAAAAGTATCAAACAAACTAAATTACAAGTCTGAATATTGTCGGCACAAAAATACAAAAGCATTGGTGTCATGTGTAGAAGAGATGTCGACACAAAAACACAAAACAACTCTGTCTCACTGTTGTCTATTACAAGAAGTCGGCACTAAATCACAAAAGCATTGGTGTCACATGTGTCTCTTACTCGGCTCACCTGCATAATTGTTAATAAGAGAAGTCATCAGACCAAACACATCTAATAAAAACATCATACACAAACCAGAAACTTAAAACAGAAGCACAAAACATTCAGAAACTTTAAGACTATTAATAGAACATGCTTACACTTAAAACAGAACCACAAACTTCATTCAGTTTAAGTTAACATTCAAGTTAGTTTAGTTTCAGTTGAAGACAAGCATACTTAGCTAAAACAGAAATCATTTCATTAATAGCAAAACACATTCAGACATACTTCAAACATAAACTAAAGACATAGTTAGAGGCTCTTAAGACATAAACATAAACTAAAGACATAGTTAAACTTAAAACAGATAATTAGAACATACTTCGCTTAAATAGAACATAAAAACAAACTTAAGCTTAGGACAACAAATCCATTATGAGCTTGTTCTTAAGAGTCATCTCTATGTCAGTTAGAGGCTCTGTTTTTAGCATCAAAGTGTCTAGCAGTTTAGTCCTACTAAGCTTCTCCTTAACATTGATTAGCTTCTCTTTGAAAACTAAATCTTTCTCCTTAATCTCCCAGATACAATGTAACTCCTTCAGAGTCTTGTCTTCATCTCCAATTTGACTTGTTGTCTTGGCTTTGGCTTTGGCTGTGGCTTTGGCTGCCTTAACACCAGTGGGACGAGGCTCTTCCTCGTCAATGTTGACTGGCATAGAGCATGAGGCCTGTGCAGAGCCGTCCTCAAACCTCTTCCTCTTTGCTGACCCACTGTCTTTACTTGTTGATGATCCGCACCACTTCTGATCATGGCGAAGCTCCCTCCAAGCATGCTCAAGTGTGAACTTCGCCTTGTGATCATTGTAGAAGATCTGGTGAGCCAAGTTCACCACATCATTCTCATTCTGGCCACTGGTCTGCTGTTTGGTTGCAGCCTCATAGCTTCCTACAAACTTACAGACTCCCTCATTTATCTTTGCCCACCTTTGTTTACAGCATAATGGAGCTCTCTTTTGCAGACCTCTCAGCTTGGGACTTGCTGCAAAGTAGTCTGCAATGCGTTGCCAGAAAGCTGTGGCTTTTTGCTCATTGGAGACAACAACATCCTTGGAGGTGTTGAGCCAGGCACTAATGAGAATCACATCTTCTGTTGGTGACCATTTACGTCTTGATTTGCGGTCTGCAACAGGCTCTTCAGTAGGCGTTGGAGCTTGATTTGGATCAATCCAAGGTGCACTAAATGAAAAACCAGCATACTGATTTGGTGGAGGCATGGGGTTATCTTGTTGAGAACTTAAGAGGTTTAAAAAGCTTGAAGGATTGGTATATGGATTCCTTGAATCCATATCAAAATGTTTCTGGTTTGTGTTAAAAGGAGAAGATAAGAGCTGTGGTTTTTGCTTTAAGAAGACAATGAAGAAAAGAGGATTATGGTTCAATGTTTAATAGAGTTGCGGATGTCAAAGAGGAGTGAATATGGTTAGGTTTGAATTAACTAGAGCTGAAGCTATTAAAAAAGCTTCAGTCTTAAGTTGAAGTGATGGTTAGCTGTTAACTTTAAGCAATGAATGACATACACTTTAACCTACTCTCAACCATGCAAGATAACAGAGACTTTAACCTACTTTAACAGAGATCATAACTATGATAATGATCATATCTAACCTAATCTAATCACAGAGAGCAATCAATCGAAGAGATGCAATCAAAGAGAAGCAATCAATGACATACTAATAACTATGATTTAGACTCCTCAGACTTTAACCTACAACAAGATTTAGACTCCTCAGACTTTAACCTACAACAAGTCATAATCATTTATCACAATGCATTCAATTAAAAACTGAACTCTTTACCTATTAAACTGAACTCATACTTTAACCATTAACTGAACTCACAATGCTATTATAATTGAGTATAGTCAGGTTACATATATATCTAAACGATTAAAACAAGTAAACATTGGGCACCACAGAGAACAAAAGAAAGTGTTCAAGTAACTTGTTGGTTTACATGTTCCACTAACATAGAGAGGCATTGTGTTGTATATAAGTGTCAATACAACTTCAGCTCAAATGATGGTTTATATTAGTCTGCATAATTGGCAACATATGAAGCAGAAACAGTGTTTTTATCAACAAATCCATCAACTAGAGATGAAGAAACAGAGTTTTTTTGGAACTGTGAAAAGTAACTTACCAGACTGCTCCATGTAATGCCATGAGATGTCTCATATGATAATACTTCCTGTTACTATCGCTGAGGGCATGGGGAAGCACATCTTTCTCTTCAAGTTTCTCCTTGTACCCTGCAAATACAATGAATTTTTAATTTCTTGCTAAGGATAGCTGAGTGAGTTTTTAAGCAAAGAGCAACAAAGCCAATGGCTTACCATTTCCAGTGACTATGATTTCTGGGTCGTTATAGTTCTCTTTGATGTATTTCAAAACTTTTCTTAACCCGTCTGCGCAAACTGGATACTTCGCAGTAGCCGGCTGAAGCATTTATATAAGAAAGAGACTTAGAAAAGGCTAAAAATTGTGTAAAGAGACTTATTTAAAGGCAAAAAATCTAAAGGCAAAAAAATCATCTTAAATCATGAATAAGAACGAAAAAGAGACTGATTATGTATTCAAAGCCACCTAATTGCGTTTACATCAAAGAACCCTAATTTATCTTCCATCAATTCCCAATTCCAGAAACCCTAATTTCGATATAATCTAAATAAAACCCTAAATCATCATAATCTACACAATCAAACAGCTAGATTCATACCTTCACAAAGCGATTACGGCTTGATTTCACCTAAATCTCTGAGATTTGAAGCCGAAACGCTCCGATTCGGTTCACCGACCTCGCTGATGGTGAGCTCCGTCGGAGGAGATAATGATCACAGAGGGGAAGAGACCAATTTCTTTGACGATTTGATGCTTGAGACGCCTGATGAAAATCGAGTGTCTCCATGGAAGATCGCCAACGCGAGTTTACAAGAAAAATAGAGAGAGTCGCGAAATGAAAAGTTTCAGAAATTTGGTTGTTTTCTCTTTTGACACACACCAATAAGAAATTGACACGTATGAACTCTTAAAACAAAAAAAAAAACCTTAATTAAGGTCTGATCCTAAGTTTATTTCTTATTTTTGATTTAAATTGGGCCACTTTCTTAAGGATTCTATCCCTAAAAAACTCTAAAAAAACCCCCCCATTGAGCTTGCTCTAACGTCCTGAATTTTAAATTCTTGTGTAACAAAATGCCAAAATCAAGAAGAGAAAAAAAGTTACAGTTGACAAATAATATCAATATTAGTAAAATAAAATAAACAGAAGACAACAAAAGAGGAAGCATAGATTCGTGTGTCCTGGACCAGATTATTACTAATAAAATAAATATCCAACCGTTCGTTAACTTATTCCATATCGACATTTGGACATTTGGGTCAAACAATACAAAAACCAAAGTTACAGAAATAGAATTATTATATTCTTTTCTTTTAATTTCCCCAAACAAAAAAACTCGATGGGAACAGTGTTGACGACACGGCTCCATTAACGAATATTCCGTACCTTAAGCCTCATACATTTCTATCGGCAAAAAAAAAAAAAAAAAAAAAAAGCCTCATACATTTCCCTTGTCTCTTCTCTTATAAGGTTTTCCTCCCCTTGTTTATCGAAAAAATCCAAGAATGGGTCGTGTCCGAAAATCAGATTTCTTTTCCATTGTTCTTGTTCTGTGTTTTGTCCTCAACAGCTTACTCTGTAATGGAGGCGTCACCAGTAGATATGTCAGAAAATTAGAAGCAACCGTTGATATGCCTCTTGATAGCGATGTTTTTCGTGTTCCCTGTGGCTACAATGCTCCTCAACAGGTTTCACAATTTTCTTTCAAATCTTTACATTATTTTTTTATAAATTCAACAGTCTTTTATGAGTTTTGTGGTGGGTTCTGTTTATAATTATTAAATTTCCAAGCTTTATTTTGGTAGGTGGTGTTTTAGTTATCTTTTTCATTTTAAATATTAGGTTTCACTTTTTGTTTTCTATTGTTTAATCTTGTTCTAATGGCAAAAAAGCTTTTTATTGGACGATTCTGATAGATTCAAGCTTGCTTATTGGTAGTTACTAAAGATGTGAACTTTTTCATTTCTTAATTTGTAAAAACAATTTGATTTAATGGGTTTTTGATTTGGGGCAAAAAGGTGCATATAACACAAGGAGATGTAGAAGGGAAGGCAGTGATAGTATCATGGGTGACACAAGAAGCAAAAGGATCTAACAAAGTCATTTACTGGAAAGAGAATAGCTCCAAAAAGCACAAAGCTTATGGCAAAACCAATACTTACAAGTTCTACAATTATACTTCTGGTTATATCCATCATTGCCCCATCAGAAACTTAGAGGTCCATCATCATCATCCTCAATACATCATCTTGCCTAGTGTTGTTGTTTATCTGATGTTGTGGTTTTCTTATTACAGTATGACACCAAGTACTATTATGTGGTAGGTGTGGGACAAACAGAGCGTATGTTCTGGTTCTTCACTCCTCCTGAGATCGGTCCTGATGTTCCCTACACTTTTGGTCTCATTGGTATTGTCCTGAAACATAGTGTCATGGTTTTAACTTTTAACAAAAATGCATTTTATTAGCCTCTCCCATGGACTTGATCTTGTGTGGCAAATTGTTGTTTTGCAGGGGATCTTGGGCAGAGTTATGACTCAAACATAACCTTGACACATTATGAGAATAACCCAACAAAAGGACAAGCGGTTTTGTTTGTCGGCGATATCTCATACGCTGATACTTATCCGGATCATGACAATAGGAGATGGGACAGTTGGGGAAGATTTGCTGAAAGAAGCACAGCATATCAGCCTTGGATATGGACTACCGGAAACCATGAACTCGATTTTGCCCCTGAGATTGTAATGCTTCTTGCTTCATCTTCTTTGCTTTTGCTTTAGGCTTAAAACTGCTATAAGAGCACATACGAGTTTATAAGAGCATCTAGTTAGACTAAAGATTGAGATGGACTGTTTTTATGTAATGTGTAGGGGGAAAACAGACCGTTTAAGCCATTCACGCATAGGTACCGTACTCCTTACCGATCATCAGGCAGCACAGAACCATTCTGGTATTCGATTAAGAGAGGATCGGCTTACATAATCGTGCTAGCTTCATATTCAGCATATGGCAAGGCATCTTAAATATCTTGGCTCTTTTCGTTCGATATTCTTAAACCAAGACTCAGATGACTGAATATTATATCTTTCTTGGACAGGAAAATACACTCCGCAATACCAATGGCTCGAAGAGGAGTTCCCAAAGGTTAACAGGACGGAAACTCCGTGGTTGATTGTTCTGATGCATTCACCGTGGTACAACAGCTATGATTACCATTACATGGAAGGTGAAACCATGAGAGTGATGTATGAGGCGTGGTTTGTCAAGTACAAAGTAGATGTAGTTTTTGCAGGTCATGTCCACGCCTACGAAAGATCGGTAAGATCAATAACTTTGGCTCATTATGTCTCTATAAACTATAGATACTGAGAAATGTGAGCTATTGTGAAACCAGGAACGTGTATCAAACATAGCTTACAATGTTGTTAACGGCATTTGCACTCCAGTCAAAGATCAATCTGCTCCAGTCTACATCACCATTGGTGATGGCGGAAATATTGAGGGATTGGCCACCAAGTAAGCTAATTGTTAAAAAAATTTTGCTCATTGGAATTGATTTACGAGTAGATTCTAAAGATGAGAGTTTGAATGTGTGATATGGTTTCTCGTAGAATGACTGAGCCTCAGCCTAAGTACTCTGCCTACAGAGAAGCAAGCTTCGGGCATGCGATATTCTCGATAAAGAACAGGACGCATGCTCGCTATGGATGGCACAGGAACCATGATGGTTACGCCGTTGAGGGTGACAGAATGTGGTTTTTCAACAGATTCTGGCATCCTATTGATGATTCTCCTTCATGTAATTCTTGAGAATCTATAAGAATAAAATTTGTTGTATCTCTATGATTGAATAACAATGAATAAATGCATTGTGAGTGAGTTCTTTGTCCGTTAAGACCAAACGTTAATCAGACAAAAAGTGTAGAAGAAGAAGACTGGTGAATACACATTCTGTTTAGTATTGTCATGAGTGGGTTATCTTTTTGAACTTTTTCCTTATACAACATTTCCCAATTGTCTCTTTCCACAACTAATTCATATGCTTAGTAAGTTAGTATACTCAATTTTTTTGGCTTAACGCAAACCAAGAGACCTAGTTGATAACGAATCTTTTAAGGTTGGGTTGATACCTTTAAAGTTTTAATATGGACTTTTACTCTTCTCATGAGACTGGATACCCAACAATTTTCATTCATGTTGTCGACTGGTTTATCATGGCATTTTGAGACTTGGCTCGGTTTACTAGCTTACAATTCTTGCATACGGAGGACCTTCACTTTGTTCGATATAACTCATCAAAGAGAGCCACTAACCATTACTTTGGATATAGAGTCAGTACTAATAAGAGAGAAAATATAAAATTTTAATAGTTTTCTTATACAGATTTTGAAATTTAGTTTTGTGTAGAAATAAATTTAGAACTTTCAATTTAGAAGAAAATAGAACGACGGTCAAAGTTTATGTGGAACTAGATGTTATATGAAAATTTCAAGAGAGAAATATGATCCCACTTTTTTTTCCGCTAAAATACTATTTTATTAGATTATCGGATGAAAACTCTTTTCTTGAAAGAGTCAATCCGGAACGGATGAGCTTATATGGGATAATAAAGAACCTCTTACTCTTGTGTTTTTAGTTAGACAATCGGCAAATACATTTTCGCAACGCGGGATAAATCTAATTTAAAAAGATGGGAACAAAAGCTTCAAAAACTTGAAAAATTGAATCTATTGCAAATGGATATGAGCACAGAACAGTTGACCTAACCATTAAAACAGAGGAAATAAGTAAATAAAAACTAGTGAAGTTGGTTAATCATTGAACTTTAGTAGTGGATCTCTTTGAATAGACAAAAAGACAACCGTTTAGAAAACGAATTTTCATAAAGTAGAGGGTTTAATTTGTAATTTAATTCGGTTATTTTAGTTTCTTGTAAAATTTTCATGATTCGTCTTCTTCGACTTGCAGATTTAAAGTTTCGAAAATTCTCAGAAATTCAGAACTTGAGACTGATCAATTGATTGATTTTCACTCATCACTTTGCAACGATTTGATCTACGAGCAAGGTGGATACTCGGAAAATTGATCAAAAATGGAGGAGAAAACCGGATCATCAGAGGTAGAGATCGTTGAGAAAGACGAAGCGAAGAAACAATCAAAGGATCCTGAGTTTATAAGCTGTATGATGCAGCCAGCAACAGCCGAATCAGATCCTCAGTACATCGGAATCCGCCGGATTCTTCTTCATCGGAAAGCTGAATCTGGTGTTATCTCTCGCCGTTATGTGAGCATATCTTAAGCTTTTAAATTCCTTGTTTCTTATAGAGCTTGTTGTTGATTTGTGGCTTCTATTGAAGGATT